TCACAGATTCTGGCTGCATACTGGGAGCCAGGGCCAGAATTTAGATTGGACTGGGTCCATTTTCATTTGTGCATTTGTCTTTTTTCTTGTTTTGCTTTATTTTTTTGAGCGCTGAACACTGGGACCAGCAACTCTCCAAACAATCCAGTGATATCACCTTCGAGTGAGTCATGGGGAGGGCAGGGTGGAGAAGCACAGACGAGGAAAGATCATGAGGTTGTGCTTGCTCAAACAACCTAAAAAAATGCAATATGTGTTTGGCTGTGTGGAGGGCAGATTGCATCCACTAGCCACCCAACACAGGGTGTCACAGCTTTGGGGAGCATGCCCATGGCTTCAGAGATTTGTAGCTGGCTGGGTTTTTTTCCCAGATATGAGCAGGGTGACTTTACACAGGGGGAAAAAAATGTGTAGGTGCACATACAGCATACAAACACGTATGCACGTCCTACACACACACGTACACACACATTGTAAGAACACCAAATAAATTACTTTTTTGCTTTCACTTCAAAACACATAACTTATTGGTTCAACTTTTGCACCACCAAAAAAAATGAAATTGAATCTTCAGATCATGTTTAGACTGAGTCCAGTCACTTTGCATGGTGGGGGCAGCTTTCCCTGAGCTCACTGGCAGATTTCTTAATTTCTTAATGATCCTGAAGATAATTATCTAGGGTTACAACAGGACCTGCAGTCCTTGCTCAGATCCAGCTCTGTCACTAGGATTCAGACTCTGCAAGACATGGAATGACCTTTCATAAAATGCTGAAAGGAATAAAGCCCCAAAAGGACTTTCAAGCCTCCCAGCAATATTATTACAAAATTTTTATTTATTAGGAGAAGACAAAGTCCTCAGCAAGATCTCCATAAGCCAACATGGAGCCTTCTCAACAAGGCAGTGGGAAATATGAAGGACAAGGCTCTGCATCCCACCCTACCTGGGCACATCCTACACTGAGATACAACAAGGATCCTCCATCCACCAGGAGAGCGAGTACCGCTGGGTAGGCAGTCAGGGTGGAGAAGGGGCACCTCAGAGGTCTGTCCCTACTCCCCAGGCTGTCCTTGTGTTTCACATGTGGATTTGGTTAGGTTGGATGGAGACTTCCCTGCTGAGAGCACTATCCCCAAAAGCAGAAGTCCTGTTCAAGCAGAGCAAGGGCAAGCCAAGTCTCTGTTGTCCTCCCTCTGTGAGGGCTCTGGGGTCCCAGATGCTCCAGCATGACAGGGTGTCGCTGGATCCCAGCACACATACTGCGCACAGTGTCACTGCTCACCACACCAAGACCACCCCATGGGTGGATGTCCCCACGGTGGGTGTCAGCACCTCCTCCTTTGGAAAGTACACCAAGCTGTGCCAGGAAGTGTTGAGCTGGATGCCCAAGAGCGGTGTCCAGAGGCCTGATTTTGAGTGATTAGGAAGAGCTCCTCTTTGAAACAAGACCAGGTTTCACAAAATTGTACTGTGACACAAGTCCTGCAATATTTGGGCTGACTGTTCTTTGATATTGCCCTGTTCTGGCTTTGATGCTTTTCGGGCTAGATCATCAAAAAGTGCTCTTACACTGAGATATCAGGCTAAAGTGCTGGCGCATCACTCTGTGTTGTTATAGCTGATGTTTTACTCCCATTTTCTATTTCTGGACCTTGAAAGCACCCGACTGTGTTTCCTGAGCTCTTCAAGTGTTCATTACACAGTACTGTCTTCCACGCATCCTAACATCCATGCTTCTATATAGTAACCACTACAAAGCCCAGTTCAAAAACCCTCCCTCTCTCAAAATGTTGTTGCATACTTGTGTGCGTGAAAGCAAGAGCTAATTTCTTCCATACTTCACTCATTCCCTAAATAAGACCCCACAACTCTTCTTTACGTGCAGCCTCCCAGTGCCTATCAGGAGAGTCTGATGCTCCAGCATGTACGAAGTTACCAGCCAAGGGCCTGTTCTGGGGACTCCCTGCCTAGTTCTGTTCACCCCAGTGGATCAAAAGAGGAAACTATGGATGCACTCAGTACACGTCTCTTCCAAGGGGCACGCTTATTTGCATGGTAATGAGGATGGTAATGAGTCTCTTGTCTTCAGATGTACACAAGGTTCTAGTGGGTGAAAAACAGCCAAAGTTGAAATTCAGGGAATTCATAGCTTTTTTTCCTTCTTAATTTGTATTTTTATGTGGATGCAAAAGACAAACCATGTAGTACAGAAACTGCATTGTGCAGTGAACCACTGGACACTAGATATAAATTAATATTTTAACAGCCATCAGGCTCTTTAAGCAAGCATCAATCTTTTAAGTAGCCTGGCTCTAGCAGTAATTACTAGTCTCATTTCTAAAGAGACCCTTCTTTTATTTGCTTTGTTACCATAGCTTTTTGTTTTCTTTTCCTCTTTCTTAAAGTTAAAAAATGCTACATAAAGCTGCAGCTCCTCTGAGAACCCAGTGCACACTGCAAACAGGGTTCACAACAACACTGTGAAAGAGATTATGGTAATTAGCCCCATTCTGCAGTGGGGAAACTGAGGCACAGAACCTCTCCCCAACAAGAGTATGAGCAGGATTACAGGCTTAAGGAAGTCCTTCATCTGTCTTGGCCCCAACCATTCACACTGAGTGATGGCAGGGTCAAGCTAAGACAACGTGATATCTTAGGGCTGACAGCCAGGGATCCTCTTGCAGAGAGAACGGGACTCTGGGTAGAGGCTGATCCCTGGGCAGGGTGGAGAGGGGGTGAGTCCGGGCAGGAAAAGAGACCCATCTGTTATTGTCAAGACTTGAGATTGAGGAGAAGAATTGATGCTGGACTTGGAAACCCACCACTGGTCCACATCATTGCCCAAAGCATCAGATGGTGCCTCTAAGTCCAGGGTGGTGGGTTGGGGGCAGTGTGAGAAAGGGGGAAGGCTCAAAGCCGTGGTCAGATGGAGAACAGAGGAGATGCTACATGCAATGCAAAGAGGGATTGTCCCCAGCACCACTGTGGTGTTTAAAAGCTCATGGCTAAACACTCAGGGGTGGTGTTTCTGCTGTGGTTAGAATTGGATGTGGTGATTCAAGCAGCCCAGCGCCAGCCTATAAAGCTCACCACTGCCCCAGAAGGAATAAACCCCTTTAATCAAAACCAACCAAGGTAGGGGCACTGCCTCTGAAAACCCCCAACCCCGGTGCTATTGCTCTGTTCAAAACCTCAGGCTATGACACCAGCGGCTTCTCATTAAACTGCAAATGCCGTTCATTTCCATGAAGGCCCCAGGTCTTTCCAGCGCAGAGATGTCAGCCCTGCTTACTGTCCTTATTCACTGCCTCCTTCAGCACATATTGACAAACAGCATGTACTCCAGCCCTACGACTTGGGTTGGCCGTCGGCAGATATTTAAGCTGCATGGCTGCATCTGTGCTTTCCCTGCCTAACCATCAGAAAATGCTGAGATCTGTCTTTCTTCTCCCACGTCCCCGTGATGGAGTAGCCCACGTACCTAATGCTGAGTCTGTCTGTCATTTTTGCACTTTTTAGGGATAGGTGTAAGAAAGCTTTGCTGAAACCAGTGCTCTGAGTTTTCTGGATGATTGGTTTTCTCCTGCAAACAGCTTGGGGAGCTTTTATGTAGTGTCAGTCCCAAATTTCTGGCTCCTGGCACCTGTTTTACTGTTTTGACACCAGGCTTTTGAGCATAGGGACAATAATAATGATATCCAGAGCTAATGTTATTTACTAAAATACAAATTAACGCTCAGTCACATGGTAGCACGATTTGTCATCCAGAGCTAAAATTAAAAGAAATTAAGGCTGAGTCAGAAAGTTATTTCAGATCTGAGCAGGGAATGCTAAGTGATGGGGCCATGTGGGAGCAACACTGACATCTTCTGGCTACAAAAAAAAAATCTCCAGCTTTTTCACCAAGAAAACCACGGGAACCTCCAGCACAAAAGGGTAAATAGGGGTTGGGGTGGACAGAATAGCTTTTTCAAGTAGCAGGTACAAGCTTGAGGTGGTGGATATTGTCTGAGCCCACTTTAAGTGTCCACCTTAGCATCACTGCAAAATTCGAACAGAAGGTGTGTGACACTGATGACCCGAAATACGTGAGTGTAGGAGGTGAAGGGGTGTTGGTCTTCCATCAGGGCAGGTGACAGGGCTGTATCTGTCCTTTTATGTTGCAGTGGTGAGCTGTTCAGTGCAACACATAGGAAGAGGCAGGCACCAAGAACCAATCCATGCAAATCAGCCGAGCAACAATTTTCTCTGATCTGGAATGAGACAGGGCCTGGCTGCCTTGTGCTGATAAAGCAGGAAGGCAGGGGGACCACTGAACCTGTTCCCCAAAATGATGCCCTCAGCCCTTGCTATAGGGCCTCAGAAAGCAGCTTGGCCCCCAGGTATGAAAGACACCTCTTGGGTGCAAGTCTCCTGCATCAATTCAGAGCAGGATGGCTGAATCCACAGTGAGGTAAACAGGTTTGTCCATTGTGCTGTTGAGTTCCTGCACCAGGACTTTCTCCTCTGGAGTAGATGACCTTCAAAACACAGTGCATGCTGGGTTGGGGGGGGGGGTGGGGTTAGCTGGATGGTTATCTAGAGAGAGGTGTAAGAAAAATCCTCCATCCCCACCACCTCTCATACTTGTGTAGCTCCTGCAACAATTAACAGCCTCCCTCCAAGATGTGTGGGCTTGCCATGATGGCTCACAGCTACGTTTGAGGGTGCTGGGTCCATTGCTAGGAACCCTTTTGCAGTGGTGGCTAGGAGGCTCCTGCCAAAGGCATAGTATTATCCATAATTATCACTTTAGGGTCAACGCCTTGCAGTCCTGCAGTGGCCAGATCTTCAGTCTGGTTGCAACGGCATTGCTAGCCAAGGATCTAAGAGCAGAATCACACCTTCAGCCTTTTCTGCAGGTCTCACCTCTTCCAGACTGGGCTGACTGCCACGCTTGCTACCCTGCACTGCCATACCCTTCCCCTTCCTCTAACCATTTCTTTTAATCTCTTCCAAGGTTCTTTCTTCCCATCTCTGAAGCCCTCCGAAATGGTCTTCAAGGTCATCTTCTGGCTGGGATACTTCAACAGCTGCGTGAACCCCATCATCTACCCGTGCTCCAGCAAAGAGTTCAAGCGAGCTTTCATCAGGCTTCTCAAGTGCCAATGCCACCGGAGAAGACGGCCCATCTGGCGTGTCTACGACCACCACTGGCGAGGGGCCTCCGTGAACAGCTCAGTGCAAGACTCTGAGACAGATCTGAGGCCCAGGATTAACACCCTGAACAGCTCATTCCTATTTAACTCCTCCTTCCAGGAGAGAGCCAGTAAGAGACGAACACTCAGCTTCAAGGGCTGGAAAATGCTCACTCCTTTCCAGAAACCAGCATCCACCCAGCTGAAGGAGAAGATGAACAGCCTTTCAAATAAAATCCGGGGTGGCTCCAGCAAAGCGGGGGTGACAGCCACGTACAAAACAGAGGTGGAGTCTGTCTCTATTGGGATCCCTCATGACTTCACGGAAACCATCGACTATCAAACCTATGACTTAACAGACTGCTGCGGGCTGCGAGAAACAGATATTTGAAGCCACTGTCAATGGTTTCTTTTGAGGTATCTAGCAGAAACTTGAAGGGATACCATTTGTGGGTCTGTCAGGCAGACTGGAAGCAGCAATCAGGTATAAAATGCAGTTGCCCAAAGGTTGTACAAGCATCCCCCACATGGAGGTCAGTCCCTTCTCTGGGATTATGGGTTCCTCAAATAAGAGCCAATGGCATATCCCATTTTAACGAGCCACGGCAGCAGGGGAAGATGTGGGGTGGATATGGCCTTAGAACAAGAGCTGTTTCCTCCATTGGGTGGTTATCTTTGACTTTGGAAGAAGCTGTGCAATTAAGGGAAACCAGGGAAACTCCTTTGCCTTAAAAACACCACCACAAAATCTAATGGAAAGATCAAACCCCAAAAGATGCCAACCCCGCCTTAGTACATGTGATCATGTTTCCATCCAGAGGCAGCACCCAGAAAGGATGCTGCTGAGCAGTAGCTGGCAGCTGATCCTTTAGATAACAGGTTGGGAACTTGTAGGTCTACAGGGCTGGGCAGGACCTCCAGCTGAGGCCTTTGCTTTGGAGGGTGAGCAGACTGTGGTATTCCCAAGCAGGGTGGGGGGATCCTGGCTCTCAGCCATCATGTCTGCAGTGACCACAGCTTTTCCCCTTCCACGTAACCTGGTTTTAGGCCAGAGGATAAGTCCAGATGTGTACACTGATGCCAATGGGTGTGTGGGTCTCTCTTCTTGAAGTCCAACCAGTGATGCACTTCTCATTTCACTTTCCAATGAAACACTTTCAACCCACCTTGCTCTGGTGCGCATACCTCTGTGATACAGAGAGAAAGCAACTCCTTTTGGTGTCAGCCTTCCTTGGCCTTTTTCTCTCCCCTTCTTGCTGTTACTTGCTGTCTCTCTCAAACAACACGGAATAAAGACATATCCTAGGGACTTTGCTCAGGTCCATACTCAACCTGCGCTGTGGCTCAGGAAAGGTTGGATGGCTGAGCTTGGGGCCCATTTCTACTACCCATAGAGTCAAAGCTAAAACGGAGCTGACATGCAGTTGGAGCTCCCTCGTGTAGATGCATCTTCTCCCTAGTCAGAGCCATGCTCATGACTCTTCTCCCAAGTGGCTTCCCACATGCCTAATACATCAAAGCCTTTGGTGGCTATCAACAATTGCCCTTTGTTATGTCTGCTAGCATGATAAAGCAATGTTGATAAGGGGGTTTTTTGCTCTTCTCACAGCCCCAGAGTGTGAGCTCCCCTCAGGAGGGCACCGTGGCCTCCACCAGGGAGCACAGGGAGGTTGGAGCCATGACAGGCCCACCTCAGACAAGCTCACACACCTTGTGCTTTGCAGCTCAGAAAAATGGTCACCCAAACTCTGCTTGGCCATGTATTTCAGGCGCTGGTTTTATCTAATTTCAGACAGGCAAGGAGCCACAAAGAGACATCATTAAATTAAGCTGTGGGGAGAGGCACAAGACAAGACACGTAGGTGATGGAGGCAAAGTCTGGATCTGAGGTGCAGGGTCTCAAGCCAGGTGAGTAAAGAACAGGAACATGAAGTCAAAGGGTGGAGACATGACACTGAACGTGTCCTGGATGGAAACTCATCCTCATCAGCACTGTTCCCCAAACCCATTAGGAGTCTTTCATGAATATGCCTACAGCACATCTAGCTGATCCTCTTAAGGGTGGCTATCAAAGGTGATGAAAGGCTCGTAGGCACAGCAAAGAGAATGTCACCTTTCTTTCTGCTGTTCATTTGCTTTAAAGGAAATGGAAACAGAGGAAAAGTTGGACTTCTTTTATTTTTTACTTTTTGTACAGTGCATACTGAGACATGATATCTGTAACTGGCCCTGTCTCAACACCTTTAACACCCTTCTGCCCTTTGCTCAATGCAAGACTCTGAACTGGACAAATTACTGCACAAAGATATGCAGATTTTGTCCAAATACTTTCCTCCTAGCAGCAAATCCCACCAAGGCACATTGGCAGCATTGCACTTACACTGAACCCAGACTCATTACTGCCTGCACGTTCACCAGTGTCTGCAAATTCAGCCAGAGGTTGCCAGCTTGAGAGGTTCAACCCTACCAAAGCAAGGACCCAATGTCCCATGGGAACCTCTGTGGGGAGATGCATCTTTTTTTTCCCCATTTGTTTGGCCTTCAAGGGAAGCAAGACCCTACGGTGAAGATGGGGTAACACAGAAAGTCATTTTGCAGTGTAAAGACTGCAGCTGCCACTGGTTTCCTGGGTGTTTTGGGGATCCTGATGGGAGAGCACACTGCTGGCACCAGGGAGGTAGCAGAGAAGGCATCAGGGAGAGGGCAGTCACTGAAGAGCGGAGATGCCTGGAAGGTCCTCCTGGAAGGTTACTTATCCTGCCTTCCACCTACCTCTTGGGATGCATGTGCACACATGACACTGTTGGAGGGAGTAAAGGCACCCAGCCCTGCATTTTTGGCCACTGGTGACACTGCTTTGCAGGCCTAACACACGCAAGTGCATAATGTAAGCAACCTGGGGGCACATTTTAGGACAAGCTGATACACATATCATCAGAAGAGAAAGTCTAGTCAAGGGGGAAGATGGACATTTGCCATTAAATGCTCTCTGATGCTCAGGAGCAGATTTTTCTGGTGTGTCTCCGCAGCCAGACACTCATAGCACATGGTAACGTGTGCATCCACAACCACACAGATACACATATACACTTTACTACATTTATATATATATATAAATTTCATCTCCAAAATGGCAGACATTCTCCTATAAATGGAGACTTTGCAGGGACTTTTGGCAATTGTTGTCAAGCAGTTCATTTCCAAGAATGAGTTTAAATTATTGCTTACACTTCTCCCTGACCTTTTAAATATACTTCTTTCTTTTTTTTTTTTTTTTCCAATTTTGAAATATTTACATTTACTGCCTCCAGCCCCTTGAAAGCATCCAGAAAGGAAAGAAAGATTAGGCTGGGGGGTCACTGCCTCTCCATCCCAATTTTTTACAGACCTACAAGGGAGGAAATGAGGATAAAATCTGTTTAAGCGCACATCTGCATACACACACATAAATGCCCAAACTTTGGCTCATTTATTTTCCTCCATTGCAGCTGTGCCTGCATTTGATCAGGCCCTGAGAGATATTCTAGAAGGTGCTGTAGGAAAGTCTTGAGCATTGCTGTGCTGCATTCAGGCAAAATACTTGTTTCTCTCCTAAGCCAAGGGCCCCCTTTCATTTAGCAGCTTGCATCAGAAGAGGCAATGCCAGGACTGGACTCTGAGGCTCTACATATAGGACTTCATTTAGCATAGACAGGGCTGCCTTTGCTGGCAGGGGAGGAAGGACAATGATGTTGTATGAAATATGACATGAGTGTCTAAAATTGTGCATTTCTCTTTGATTCCCTTAATCTCCAAGCTCTCCCAAGTTTGGAAAAATGGGCTCAGACAGACCTTCAGGAGGTAAATTTGTTCTGATCCCACTGACTTCTCTGGACCCACAAGGGTGTGACCAGCTGAGGGTATGGTCCCATTTCTCCAAATTTGCCAAGCAGGCCATTTTCCAAAGCACCGATACTTTGGTTATCCGGCAGCTCTCACCTCATCGCACTGGCTTCGTGTCACTATTGCATCATCAGACCTTGCTGCTTCGACAAACCGAGTGTGTAGGGTGGTGAACAGCAGTTTTTACATCAGTAGACTCTCACAAGTCCGATGTAAGAGGAAAGGAAGGTCCCTGTCAGCCTGAGCTGGACTGCAGTTGGGTTGCATTACTATTGTTTACAGTGTGTATATAAGTGTACATTTTCTTTAGCAGACATTGAAATTTTTTATGTATAGATTTTTATTTTTCATCCCCAGATGTATTTATTAGCCAGAGTATTTCTGTTTTGTGAATCAAGTTCTGTCAGGCTGATGTAAGCTCTATGAAACAGAATGCACATATTTTTGTTTGTTTGTACCAAATACATGCACAAACCTGTCTAAAACGTTGCTGTGAATTGTTGCTGTGTCTGATTTTTAAAACAGGGGTTGTAGGGGATGGGGGATGGAGGAAGAAAAACCTGCAAATTTCCCGCCGTTGTTTTTTTCTCAAAGACTTTTTTGTAATTTCACAAGAATAATTGCTCCCACATGTAAGAATTTATGATAAAAAGAGTTAGAAAAGGGCTCTCTCAACTTTGTGCCATGCAGGGATGAAGGGGTCACACCAACCGTGTCGTCTCTGGGATGCTCCCTGGAGCAGGAGGAGTCTGGATGAAGCCATGACCCATGGGAGTGGAGGAGGGAAGGAGGAGAGAAGGCTGTTGTGTGGTTGGTGGTCAGGAAGAAGCTCTGGTGAAAGAATTTCCATCAGAGTAGGGTTTTCTAATGAAAACTGAAATTGCAGTACATTGAAGATTTCTCTGGAAAATTTTCATTTTTCTTCTAAAGTTAAAATTCCAGCATCGCTCACAAAACCACTACCTGCAGTGAAATGGAAACAGCATTTCTTATGTTCCCATCTCACTCCAGGTACTCCATTTCCTAAAATGCAGCCTGATGGCACCTACTGGGCAGTGGTGTCTCAGGGCTGGGTATCATGCAAGGACTCTGAGCTGGAAAGCCCAAAGGGGAGAAAGGCAAAAGAAGACAAAACACCTGCCTCACCTCTAGGACGCTAAAGCAATATCATAGAGCGGAGTCTGAAACGTAGCGAGGTGAGAAACAGAGCTCTGAAAACATCCAACAACAAGTATCCCAGAAATATTTCTTTGCAAAACAAATGACCAAACACGGCCCAAGGCTGGCTGTGCTTCAGGGATGGCTCCAGGCAGAGGCAAAGCGAGCAGCCACCAAATGCAACTCATCAGCTCCAGGGAAAGGTTGTCATGACTTCACTGTGCATTTTGCTAATGCTCGTGTGCAGTTGAGTCAGACTGATGCTGGGGAATACGGATGGATGCTGTGTTCCCTGGCGAGCCCACAACAAAAGATGCTCTTGACTGATGCTGCTCACATTTTTAAAAAGTA